CGAAATGCTCTCTAATCTGGTGTTTATTGGAGCATTTCTGAAGCCCAGCTTAGGCGAAGAACCGATTTTTAAAAAGGAGCATTTCAGATGGCAGTAAATCCCACATTATGCCCTGTTTGGGAAAGAACCAAGGCTGGGGGAAAAGAAGCAGGTTTCTAATAAATCAATGGAGTGTGGCCTTTGGAGACCTGGGAGGCATATGGACAGTAATAGAGTATCCCAGGTTGTTCCGTGAATGATTCCATCTGGATGAGGGCTCGGCGTTATTCGCAGCCTCCTTCTCCCCTAGAACACCTCCAGTCTCCCCCGCAGCCCCTCTCTCAAATGTCAGACCACCTGGGATCTGCAGCTGTCGGGCTGAAAGAGGAGCTGCCAGGGCAGCCACGGCCCCACTGCCATCGGGGAACTGCTGAGTCGGGACCTGCATCGGCTGTGGTGTCCAATACTGTGTATGCTCCCTTTTGTGTAAAAATATGGGGTTTATGGATTTTATATAGAATGTCCTATTGCCAGCAGGACAAAGGGGAATGGCTGCAGGATGGAGGTCAGGTTTGGGTTGGAGATTAGGAAGAAATTTGTATCTCAGAGGGTGGGGAGGCCTTGGCCCAGGTTGGCCGGAGAAGCTGGGCCTGTCCCATCCCTGGAAGTGTTCTAGGCCAGCCAGGATGGGACTTGGTCTGGTGGGAGGTGTCCATGCCCATGGCAGGATGTTGGAATTTGATGAGTTTTAATGTACCTTCCACCTCAACCTGTTCTGTGATTCCATGATTCTGTATATATGTGTGTGTGGGGAGGCCTTGGCACAGGTTGGCCGGAGAAGCTGGGCCTCTTCCATCCCTGGAAGTGTTCTAGGCCCAGCTTGGATGGGGCTTGGAGAAACTTGGTCTTGTGGAAGGTGTCCCTGCCCATGGCAGGAGGTTGGAATTGGATGAGTTTTTATGTCCTTTCCACTCCAACCTGTTCCATGATTCCTTGATTCTGTATATATGTGTGTGCATGTGTGTATGTATGTATGTATCTATCTATCTATCTATTTATCTATATATTAACACATGTGTTTAAACATATCTTTGCACACCTAAGCAGTTGGAATAACTGCTTGCAGCACCAGGGTTTGGTCTCCACGTGGGTACTGTTCCCTCCATGCTAATGAAGAGGTAAAACCACTCTGCTGCAGTCAGTATGTTTAAAACATGACCAAATTGAGTTTATCAACCCCACGATGTCACAGGCTTGCTGCAATTTTACAATGCTGTATCTTGCCTCTGAGCAATTTGCAATTGTGTTATCTGGTAGAATCACAGAATCACAGACTGGTGTGAGTTGGAAGGGATCTAAAACTCCTCTTGTTCCACTCCTTGCCATGGACAGGGAACCTTCCACTTCCAGGTTGCTCCAAGCCCCATCCATCCTGGCCTTGAGCAAGAACTATATAATATGGCCCTGGAGGTCATGATTTGGGGTGGGTTTGGCAGTGTTACATTGACAATTGGGTTTGATGATTTTGGAAGGCTTTTCCAGCCCTGACAATTCTGTGATCAGCAAGCTGGTGCTTTGCTCACCCTTAGGGAAGAGTGTGCAGCCCACCATGCTCCAGAGGCACTGCTGAGTGAAGGAACTGCAGGGTGCACATCTCAGGTAAACAAGATACAAAGAGCACATTGCAACTGGGAAAAAAAAACCTTTTAATTTCTCCACTTTGTTTATAACCCCCTTGCAACATCTCTCTAAGAAAGAGCAATAGGACCATTTTATTAGTGAATATGCAGAGCCACAGCAATATTAAATGATTCTGAGGCCTTTGACACAAAGGAGCTGTTACTGGCCCATAAATGAAAAAGATATTTTTCATTACAAGTCCTTTATCTCAGGAGTTTCCCTCCCACCTGGAATTTACACATCTCACACTCACTGATCTTTTGGAGCTATTAATCCATCTAGGTATTTTGTAAACTGCAGGAAACTTTGGGAGTGAGTCGGGTTTGAGTGCCTGGTGTTATTAATAATTTATGCTTCATGCGAGAAGAAAATTGATCCAAAGCATCCTGGAGAGGCCAATCCATGCTGCCTCTGTGATCAGCTGAGACACAAATTAAATGTGAGGAATGAATGGAAATGTATCGTGGAGAAAAGCTGCACAGACCCGTTCCAAGCCAGGAGGTGCAGAGCTGGTGAGGGCTGTCAAAGGCAAGAGCACGGTGTCCTTTGAAGCCTGGTCATGGAGACAAGGATGTGGGAAAAGATCCTGCAGCAAAAAGTGGTCAAAAGTTCTTAAGAGAAGGACGAGAGCAGCTCTGTTTCCTGAAGGCAGGCACTCCAGATCAAACAGCTCTTTGTGGAAATGTTCAAAAACAACCCAAACCACCTCATCCTGGGTTAAAGATGAGCTCCAGTACCTGGGGCTGGATGGGAGGTCAAAGGAGGAACACTGGGGGACATCAGTAGATGCTGAGGCTGTGCTGGAGCTACGAGAAGGACCTGTTGTGTCAAAGGTAAGAGTTTATGTTTTCTCCTAAGAAAGAAAAATGTTCAGAAAATAATCCCTAATGGAATCTGTGAAGCGTTTGCTGAGCTTTAATTTCATCCTGGATGCACTGATACATCCTTTGTTTCTCTTTGCTGTTCTTGTGTTTAAAGTAGCTTCTACCAGAAGTCACACATATCTGACCCAGAAATACAAGAGTTTCACAGCCTCTGAGGAAATGTGCTGAAGGGAAGTTTTCTGGAGCTTTTCAGCTGGGAATGAAGCCTCCTGCCCATTTGTTTACCACAGAGGGAGCCCAGGAGAAGGACAAAGTGCTGGAGTGAAGGAGGTGGTACAGAAATCACTGCAGGCACCTGCTGTTTCTGGAAGTTTCTGTTTTGAGGTATGTGCTGACTTTGGACAGGTAAGTTGACATGGACTGGTATCATTTTTATGAGATATTTTCCCTGTATGTTTTAATTGCTACACATAAAAAAGCATGTAAATGAATGCTGGATGTACTTTTTGTCTTTGTAAGTGTGAACTGTGTAGATAAATGCATCTACATATTCGTGTGTCCTTATCAGTCTTGATACCCTACTTGCTAATGTGATAGTGTCATCTAAGTTGTGTCATACTTGGTTCAGGACGGATTTATTAACTGTTCTTTCTGCCCTTCAAATGAGCACCTGTTTCAGTGAGGTAAATCCAGAAAAAAATCCCTTGATCAGAGGACTCAGGTTCTTTTGCCATTCCTGCTTAAAAATACTGGGAAATGCTTATACTCAAAGAAAAAGATCTCTGACACTGAAAAATGCAGTGAAATAAAATGGTATAGTGGGGCAGAATAATTGAACTACACATTTTTACAAATTATTTTTTGTGTTCTAAAATCCTGGAATCATAGAATGGTTTGAGCTCAAGGCACCTCAAAGGTCTTCTCATTCTATCCCCTGCCATGGGCAGGGAAATCTTCACTTAGGCCAGGTTGCTCCAAGCCTGATCTTGGACATATCCAGGGATCCAGGGGCAGCCACAGCTTCTCTGGGCATCCTGTGCCAGGGCCTCACCATGCTCATAGGGAAGAATTCAGTGGTGGCACATTGTGGTCCAAAAACGCTACTGCTCTGGTCATTGACACACAAAATGATTTAACACAAAACAAATCCTTTGTTTTGTGTCAAATCATTTCAATTTACACCCTGCAAGCATCACATGCTAATCATTGTTGATTAGAAGAGTTGTTCTGCTGTGGACACACCTGGATGGAGCATCCATCCAGGTCACTGCATCCCTGCTTATCCCTCTGCACCTGCAGTGTGGGATCACGAGGAGCAGACACAGCCTGAGGGCAGGTGACCTGTCCGAGCAATAAGCCGCCACCCTGGATTTTCAGTCCTTGGCTGCTCTCTGGAGATGCTGGTCAAGGTGCCAAGTTTAAAGCTGTTTCTAATGATTTGCCACTTTGCTGTTGAAACTGAAGGAGGAGTGGGAACACGTCGGCTTTGGCCAACCAGCAAAGGGTGCTCGAAGGCGATGAGCACCAAAATACTTCTTGGCCACTGTTCATTAATGTTCTCTAAATTCCAAGGGGAAGATGTCAGATTTTTGCCTTTTTATTTTTTCTTTCCTTGCAGGTTCAGTGCCTCCTGCAGCTTTTGCAGAGTCCCAGATCCACAATCTGGTTTATCAAAGGTCACTAGTCCACGTCCCTCTCCCATGGAAAATCAGGAGTTTGAGAAGCAGAGTCAAGGTTTGGAACCATCAAATCCTAGAATGGTTTCAGCTGGAAGTGACCTTAAAGTGACCTTAAAGATAATCTCATTCCACCCCTTGCCATGGGCAGGGACACCTTCCATTGTCCCAGTGTGCTCCAAGCCCTGTTCAACCTGGCCTTGGACACTTCTGGGGATCCAGGGGCAGCCCCAGTTTCTCTGGGCACCTGTGCCAGGGCCTCCCCACCCTTACAGGGAAGAATTTCTTTCTAATTTCTAATCTAACCCTGCTCTCCATCAGGGGATGGTGTATTTTTCCTTCATGACATCAGTGTACTAAGTCTGCTGGAGTTTTAGGCACATTTAAATTGTGCATAATTGAACCCTAGAAAAGCATGCAGAGATCTCCATTTCCTGTTTTATTGTTTTTTGGAATGTTTATCCTATCTCTGTGTATCCAACATTCAAATATCCTTCAGGAAGGGGATGACTGAGAGTCTGTATTTCTCTGCAGTGGTTTGTGCAAGTTGTCTAGAAAAAGGACAAAGTCTCCTGGTTGAGAATTTGTGACATGAAGGTCTGAGTAAGAGGAGCTGTACTTTCCATTGCATCACTGATGTATCAGTCCAGAGCTTTCCCACATCTCATAAGCTGCTTTGAGCCTGTGCAGTTCGCAGAGTGGGGAAAAAAGGAATTGAAGAAGCAAAAATAAATATTAAAGCACGTAAGAATTAAATATCACCTATTCAAATAGCAATTATGCCGTTGAAAACAAGATCACCACACCTGTACAAGAAAAGACAACCAAGCCTAAAACATCTGTTTGGATCCACCTGCCAAGCACCTGTTCCTCTGTTTCAATGCCATTTGATTGCTGGAGATGTAGAGGCTCTTGTGAGGTAATGAGTGATTTTACATTATGCATGATTGAAAACAGGTGTTCTAATGCTGTACAATTCTATGCATGAATAATTCAGTTTGTTTAGAGCAAGATCTTTAAAAGAAATATGGTCTTTATTTTTTTTTTATAAATATTAAGGTTATTCTCTGTAATGTATGGTGGATGGTCTTTTCAGCAGGCTCACTGATGACCATTTTTGTATAATTTTATGGGTAGGAAATAACACCGTGAAAGGTAAAAAAAATAATTATACCTAAAGCACATAAGCAATGAAAATTGAAAGCTTTCTTTAGCAAGGAGAGGGGAAAAAAACCTGTCAGTGTTCTAAGGGGGAAAGCCAGATGACTTTTGGCAAAGCCTGCTTCTCACCACTAACAAAACAGCCCAAGAGCTTAATTATAGAGAGGGGTGAATGTGCCTCAGGGATAAGTAAGTAGCTAGTCCATCTCTTGGTCCGAATTCCAGCTGAGTCTGAATATGTTTAAGAATTTGTTTGGGTTTTTTTTCTCTCTCTCTTTTTCCTCATGATTATGAAAAGGTTTCTTGCACAGTTGCGTGCTTTGTGCTGATGGGAGATGTTGCAGACTCAGGTCTTTACCCACAGACCAGTTTCCATGCTGGGAACTGCAGGATAAATCAACCCACGCTCCTCCTCATCATGGAGAATCCAGCAGCTGCTTGGGATCATCTCCCAGAGATGAAGGAGATGTGGAAGCCAAACTGAGAGGTGCAGCCAGGCTTGCAGCATCCCCTCTGCCTCTCCCCAAGGTAAGCAGTGCAGCTGGAATGGCTTCAGCCACAGAGCTGCTGGGATGAGATGAACTGGAGCAGCCAAAGGTTTTCCTGCACAAAGTGTGTCTGCTCTCTCCTCCTTCCCTCAGACAGGGATGGGATTTAGTTTAGTTTTCAAGAAAGGTAGTGCCTGTTGTGGTGTTACTTTTAATTATGGGAGTCTTCTGTGGTGGGCAATGAGGAATTGTGATGGGGGTGAAGGGATGGGAGAAACTGAGAGTGAAGAGAGGATTTCAGACCTTCCAGACCTTCCTGTCCATTGAAGCTGATGTGACAATGATGTGGGGAAAGAGTAGAAGAGAAGAAGGGAAATGGAATTATTGATTTGCAAGGAGGAATGAACAAAGGTCTCCCTCAGGTGGTTGATGCCCCATCCCTGGAAACATCCAAGGCCAGTTTGGACAGGGCTCTGAGCAACCTGGTCAAGCTGAAGATGACCCTCTTCAATACAGGGGAGTTGTACTGGATGGCCTTTGGAGGTTCCTTCTAACCCAAACCATTCCATGATTCTAGGAAAGAAAAAGAGGCTGAAAGTCATTATTAAAAGCTGCTCTGGTTCCCTGTGTTAATGAAAAAATGAACCATGGTGCAAGAGCACCAATTTTTTGATTGCTCATGTATAACCTGAGCACTGGTTTGCATCCAGTGGCGGTAGAGGTTGCTTGAATAAACTTCGACACATTCTGAGGGTTCAGGAAACATAAGGAGGAAAATTCAAGAACCCAAAACATCCAGGTGTTGCCCAGGACCTCGCTGGGTGAACAGGGGCAGCTCAAACTGTGTCCCATACTGCTCAGGGGACACCAGGCCAGAGTCCCTTCAGGCCCTAAAAGCAAAGATTCCATGGCCAAACCTGGCTAAGCTGCAGACATTTAGGGGTTTAGCTGAAGCAGATCTGTAATCTTTCAGTATTTTATATACAGTAAGTTACAGGAGACTGTAAATTAGAGTTTATAATACCCTATCCATTCAGCTACTGACAAAATATCTAAGGTAATCTGACCTGCTTCACAGACCATGAGAAAAATCCTCATGTAAAGTGAAAAAGATGAATTACAGAGAAGTGGAGGAATTTGTCTCAACTCAGATTTTGGTTTAATTCCCACATCAGGCAAAAGAATGTTTCACCAGGCTTTACTTGAGTAAAATTGGGGAGGTTTAATAGATGCAGCCCTAGAGGGCAAGGGATAAACTCTGCTCCCTTGGAGCCAATGACCATGCCACCAAAAACAGGGGTAGGGATCAAAGTGAAGGGAATGAGGGAAGAGTTCTCTGAGAGAAGAAAAATAGCAAGGACAAAATATTGTAGGGAAAAAGTTGGGTTTTTTTTGGGGGGGGGGTATTTTTTTTATTTTTTTTTTTTTTTGATTTTGGTTTTGTTTTGGTTTGGGTTTTTTTTTTTTTTTTAATGATAAGAAAGAGGAATACATCCTGGTACTCTGAGTTCCCACAATAAGGAAAGTTTTTCTTTTCACTGTGATTTATTCTTCCCTTTAATAATAAGAAAATAACTTAAATCTCATCTTTATAAAATGTTGTATGAGGGGGAAATGAAGAGGGGTGATGTTGCATCTGTTGGGGTTGTAGATGCCTGGACTCCTCAGGGTTTATCTGTTCTGGTACAGATGATGGAAACTCACAGGTCCCACTGGGCAGCTGTGAGAAAGGCAGGACATTCCTGCTCCTTCCTTACTCCTTCCCACAGGTTTGCAATCATGAGAGATACCAAAGGCTTCCTTCAGCTTGGTGGAGGAATTTCCTGTGGATCTGCAACTCTTTCCCTGCCCACCTTCCCCTTTCCCAGTAACAGCTGTTTTATAGAACACCTTATCTGATTGGTTTTAAATTAGTGTTGGGGGGTATTTTCTGTTTTCTGCTTTAAATCCAGCACCCAACTCTCCCAGAAACACATCCTGTTCTTACCCCTGCCACATCTTCTCTGTAGCAGTAAGAGAAGGCTCCAGTAGCTCCTCTACCACTTTCTTAACTATTTCCATTCCCTTTCTGTGTGCTAAAGTGACCCCCTTGTCCTTGCAGTTGAATCCTACAAGGGCAAAGTGGGTCTTGGTCATGTTCTGTGGGCCAGGTCAGGTTCCTGCAGGCAGGATAGAAATTTTGGCTTTCTCCCTCCATTCCTTTACTGCCTGGTGTCAGAAGGAAACTGACTTTTCCAGAAACACACCCCAAAGAGAACCATCACAGTTTCTGCTGTGCAGGGATACCTGTGTGATCCAGGGCTGTTAGGAGGTTTCCAGATGAGGCACTGAAAGATGAATGTAGTTTAGTTTCTGAAACCTTTTGATGGACTCAGATGGAAGTTGTTCCATAAATCAAAAGTCCGTATTTACCTTTTCTATATACACCTCCCGTGATTTATTAGGTAACTGTTTCTTGTCATTGTGACCCTCCAAATTATTTGACTTTGGTTTCCTTTCAAGAATTAATCAGGCTGTGATGAATCATGGAATCACAGAATGGTTTGGGTTGGAAAGGAGCTTAAAGCTCATCTCATTCCACACCCTACCATGGGCAGGGACACCTTCCTCTATCCCAGGTTGCTCCAAACCCTATCCAACCTGGTCTTGGACACTTCCAGGGATCCAGGGGCAGCCACAGCTTCTCTGAACAACTCTGCCAGGCTCTCAGCACCCTCACAGGGAATAATTTCTTCCAAATCTCTAACCTCAATCTTCCTTTCTTCAATTTAAAACCAGTTCCCCTGCTCCTATCGCTACTGGCCCTTGTAAGAAGTCACTCTTCCACCTTCTATAAGTCCCCTTTTTTTATTGGAATGTTTCTGTGGATATACAGGAACTTTGCCATTGCTTCCTGGGAGATCAGTTCCACTGATATTTCTGTTCCTACAGCAGAGGTGACAGAACAAGGTCCTTTCTCTAGGTACCAGTAGCCCCATTTCCCAAACCAGTAGTTCACTCCTTCTTACCCCCAGTTAAAATCCCGTTGAAACTGTCAAGAGTCGTTTCCACCTCTTTAATTTCGTTTTCAAACGAAATCCCTCCACTCCTTTGTATGCAGAGGCTGCTGCAGCCTGGATCTCATCTTGTCTTCTAGTAACATCTTCCAGATTTGTTTTAAACTGATTAGACACTGCTGAAGAATCAGCTCCTCTCCCCCGGACAGTACAAAGCCAAGTGTTGACAGAGCTGGCTCGTGGCCATCGGCTCCGCGGTGACGCAGCATCGCGTCTTTTGACAGCCCCCACTTCGTTTGGGCCACTCTGAAACATTCACACACCCCGAAGAATTAAAATTAAATAAATTACTGAGTGTCAGCAATTATAAAAAGAAGTGTTGGCCTGACCAGAGAGTTGTGTTAATTAAAGGACTTAGTCTATACGCTGGAGCGAGGAATAAGAAAGTTATTTCTGCTTTCCTAATGGGGCTGCAGTTTCTCTCTGAATTTTGGTTTTGAGAAATAGAAGATTATCCTTTTTATTGGGCTATAGAGAGAAATTATGGGGAATGAGCTGAGTGATTTTCAAATTCTCTCAGTAGGAGTAGGAAAGGAGGGAAATACTTGTCCTTCTTTAACTCAATATCTTCCACTGCAGTTTAGAAACAGGGGACACTAATTTCTGGGTCCCATCTCGGCACAGGGATATATTTAAGTCACTGGGATGGTATATATTTCCACCATCTAGATAGTTTTCTGGCTGGAATCATCCTGCCTTTAAGTATGAGGAGGAAATACAGAAGGTCACAGTAACAAATACTGTTTCTGGGATTAATTTGTCCCTAAAGGTTAATAAAGCTCATCAAGAAATACACTTAAATGAAGCAAAGTTATCTCTAGCATTTGAGTCTTCCCATCACAGTGTCCTAAGAGATGTCCTGTGGTTTGACACATAATTAATATGTTTATTTATCTTTGTTTTTTTAACATCCATCACCATAATAGCCAAATATAAACATTTCATCCTCTTTTGTAAAGAGCCTATGGTCCATTTTATTGCAACAGTCACTTTCCCAGCTCCCACCAGTGACTGAAAAAAACCCCACCAAATCCCTGAAATTTTCTCACCACTTTTTCTGGAAGCTGTTATGTTTACAAACTTGTGGAAAATGTGCCTCTTTTGCCTCCTTTGAGTGTCATGGGAACACAAGCCGAGGTCTGCTCCAGTAGCACTGCTCGGGGCTGCCTGGTGCATCTCGGGGGTCTCATAATCCACGAGGTTGTTCCAGAGTCCAGCTCAAAGTTACACTCTGCTTGCCAGCATCCAAGATCCCAAACAATTTTACAAATAACCTGGCTTGAGCATTAGTATCTGACAATTTTTCAGACAAAGAGAGCTAATATTTTTGCTATTTATTCATGTTAAAGCATAATAATGTCCTCATTACTCTCACTTTAACTTACAGGATTCCCAAGGAATATTTGTTAGATTTATTGGCTTCAGCTTATGCTGTTTGTAACTCACTTTTTATAGACTTGACTGGTCAGGTAATTTCCACAGTATTGTTCTTGGCTCCCTAACTGGATCCCATCCAAATTTTCAAAGTGCTTCTACAGAGATAATGGAGCACATTCCAGCACCCTGTGAAATGTCTGCTGAAAATCCAGTGTTAGATGTGTGAGATAACCTGGGTAGAGTTGCCAGATGCTGTAATTTCTTGCTTGGGAGAACCAAACACTCTGAAGTTACCAAGACAAATCTGCCAAAAGAAGGAAAGGAAATCTAAAGGAGAGAATAAGGAGAGGGAGGAAGAAAAAGTGTCCAAACACTGCAGTTTGATGCTTAAATTGTGGGGTTTACCTCTGTTTCCTTATAGGAAAAGCAAATGCAGCACTATTGTTTTATATCAAAGAATGGTGAGGGAGTTGAGGTGAATAATAAACTCCCATTGTGAAAAGCATTAAATAATTTTTTTGAGCAAATCCATAAATCCCACGTTCAAAAAAGAAAAAGAATACAAATGTAACTCTTATTTCAGTCCAATCAGCTGAGAAAAGCACAA